TCCAATAACACATATGAGGGTCAACAACATCCAGGGCAATGCAGCCCGCTTAATTGGAATCACATCCACAAATATCCACTCCTCCACCACTAAATATTATCTACAAGATGCACTGCAACAACTTACCAATGCTCCTTTGAAGCACCTGCACCCTCCACCACTTAGAAGTACAAGGGCAGCAAATACAGGATTGAATTATAGAGATGTACAGCATGGACACCGACCCTTCAGTCCAACTCGTCTAATGCTGACCAGATATCCCAAACTCATCTGGTCCCATTTGCCAGCATTTGGCCCACAACCATCTAAACCCTTCCTATTCACATACCCATCCAGATGCCTTTTAAATGTTGTAATTGTGCCAGCCTCCACCACTTCCTCTGGCAGCTCATTCCACACACACACCAACCTTTGCATGAAAAAGTTGTCCCTTAGGTCTCTTTCAAATCTTTTCCCCTCTCACCTTAAACCTATCCCTTCTAGTTATGGACTCCCCTACCCTGGGGAAACCATCTCCTGCAAATTCCCCTCCAAGCCACTCATCACCCTGACTTGGAAATTTATCACCATGTCTTCACTGCCTTTGGGTCAAAATCCTGGAACTCCCTCCTTAATAGTATTGTCGGTCTACCTACAGCACATGGACAGCAACAGTTCAAGAAGGCAGCTCACCACCACCTTCTTGAGGGCAACTAGGGATGGGCAATAAATGCCAGCCCTGCCAGGAATGCTCACATCCCACAGAGAATAAAAATTACACACTCACACCAAAAGCACTCACACCTGAAGGAACTCATTGTCTTCTAGAAAGTGGTGTCTAGTCTGACTGAGGATTCACTCAATTTACATCATTCCATTGCATAGAAAATCTGGCATTACTGTTGGGCCTTTTGTGAACTGAGCCAGTGAGGTACTTTCTTGAATGGTAATCCCTGTTTCTAAAGCAACAGTCAGTGTGTGTACAGTCAGGCCCCGCACAAACAGCAATGCTAATGTTTCAACAACGCCGATTAATAGTTGAATATTGCCTGAGACACCAGGGGAAGTGCCCGGCACTTCTTTGAATAATATCCATGGGATCTTTCTGGTGAACCAGAGAGAGCAGATTCCATTTAGTGTTTTATCAGAAAGACAGTGACCCCAAAGAGCACTGCTCTGCAGTGTCAGCCTAGATTAGATAGCCAAGTCTATGAAGTGGGACTTGAACTCACAAACTTCTAATCCAGTGGTGTGAGTACTACTGACAGTTAAAACCTGGTAACCGTAAGTACGAGAGCAACCAGACAATCCAATGAGAAAAAGCAAGTCAGAACTCAATCGAATTGGTATGGTTATTGATTGCGACACACAGGTCGCTTTCAGGTCTGCAAACAATAATTCAGTTCAAATGGCACATTTTGAATATTGTGTCTTTGCTGCCTCAGTCAACTTAAATGATCAAATAGCAATGCCAGGCTACAAAAGATGTCCTCACTGGGTTAGGTTTATTTTGGTAAGTCCTTTTTTCAGGATGACTCAGATTTTCCAGAACAAGACAAGGCTCCATGACAGCATTCTAAGACAAAAGGCGGGTGTTTCAGTGAAAGTTATATTGTGATGGCAAGTTTAGATACAACTAGAGTTAGTGTCCTTTCGACCCCATACCATAGAACTTTGGCAAGGTGACTCCCTATTATTTATTTAAACACTTCACAAACTCTCTGGCGTAAAAACAAAGTGGGTCGATTACTAAATCACATCTGCCAAGCAACTCGATCAGAGGCTCTAAGTTGTTCTGCTGACTGCTCATTCTCAACTTTTGCTTTATATATCTGTTGAGTGGCTCAGAGATATCCTCATAGCCTGGAGCAGCCTGTGCAAGGAAGTGACTCTAAAAGCTCCTGTTGAAATTATTGCACCCTTGAGAGTCCTGTACATGGAGTAAGTACCTTCCAAGCGGGATCCTGTATCCGTCCCCTCTGCACAGGATGGAAACTCGCTCGTAGTCCATGGAGAGTGCCTCAGTTAATATAACATAATACGTCGATGTAATCCTATGTCAGGGCTAGCTCGCAGGGGAAGTCAAACAGCTTTAAAGTACTTGAGAAATGCATTAAGCTGCGATAGGGCATGTAGTCTCAGCACTGTCCACAACATTGTTACAATAATTAACGTACGCTGGTCTCTGTGATATATATAATATATATATGTTACACAGATGTGTGTGTATAAGCCATACAACAGATACATTGAATTTTCAAAAATATTGATGATTATTTCACTACATTCAATGATAGGGTACAGATGGTCCAGTTTGTACCCTTGGAAACGTCAATTCCAAGCCATGCCAGTCGGTGAGACAGAAAACAAGGCTAGATAGGCTGGGACCTTATCCCCCGGAGTGTAGGAGGTTGATCAGTGACCTCATAGAGGCTTTTAAAACTAGGTAGGGCACAGATACAATGGATAGCAAAAGTCTTTTCCCTAAGGTAGGGGAATTCAAAACTAGAGAGCATAGTTTTAAGGTGTGGAGGTGCCGGTGTTGGACTGGGGCGGACAAAGTCAGAAGTCATACGACACCAGGTCATAGATCAATAGGTTTATATGAAATCACAAGCTTTCGGAGCAATGCTGCTTCGTCCACTTCACCTGACGAAGGAGCAGTCCTCCAAAAGCTTGTGATTTCAAATATACCTGTTGAACTATAATCTGGTGTCGTGTGACTTCTGACTTAGTTTTAAGGTGAGAGGGGAAGGTTTTAAAAGGTCCTGAGGGGCAACTTTTTCATGCAGAGGGTGGTGCATACATGGAACGAACTGCCAGAGGAAGTGGTAGAAGTGGGTACAATTACAATATTTAAAAGACTTTTGGACAGGGTACATGGATAGGAAAGGTTTATAGGGATATGGGCCAAATGCAGGTAAATGGGATTAGTTCAGTTTAAGAAAGCTGGTCAGCATGGACGATTGGGCCGAAGGGTCTGTTTCCGCGCTGTGTGACTGTGTGACTCTACCTTTCCTTATGGATAGAGTTTATTAACTACTCAGTCTTAGAGCTGTTTCACACGTCAGCCCCACATGTTTCCCTTTTAAAAAACAAGTCAATGGGGTGTGTTGTGACACATCTCTGTGACCAGCACATTGTGGGGAGGGACTTAAACCTGGTCCTTCTGGCCCAGCAATAGAAACACAAACATCATGCCACCTATTCCCCATTTATATTCATCATAGAAACATAGAATTGGAAACAGACCCTTCGGCCCAACACGTCCACACCGACCCTCAGAGTATCCCACCCAGACCCATCACCCTATAACCCACCTAACCTACACATCCCTGGACACTACGGGGTAATTTCCCATGGCCAATCCACCTAGCCTGCACATCTTTGGACTGTAGGAGGAAACTGGAGCATCCAGTGGACTCAACTAGTCAATTAGTAAGGCCAGAAACCCACTTAACAGGGCACAGAGGGTTCACCTTCTGCACCCAGCATTCAGGATGCAACCTTGGGCACAGGAAGTTCAGTCTGTACACCACACCAACACTACCCCCACCCTGCCTCCCTCTCACTGGGGCACGGACGTTTCAGGCTGTATTCTCCCTCAGCCTCAGGGCACAGAGAGTTCAAGCTGTAATTCCCTGCTATACAGAAATTTCAGTCTTTACCCTCTCAGGACAAACAATTCTGTCTGAAGCCCAGCCACACCACCCCCCCCACCTGGGGCAGAGAGAATTCAGAATGTATTCCTGGAGCACAGAGAGTTCAGTCTGTAACCTCCCTCCATACCCACTCAGAGCACAGAGGGTCTAGTGTGTACCCACACAGCCCCTTCTCCAGGCAGAGAGAGCCCAATCTATATTCCAGGCTCGTCAGTGAAAGTGGTACTATGGGGTAGTGGGGGTACAATCTATAAGCCTCAGGATAGAGTGGGTACACTGTGTACCCTCAGCTGGATGTCGTGCAGTCTGTATCCTCAGGGCAGGGAGCGAGGCTGTCTGTAGATGAGCGAGTCTTGAAAGAAGCACTAAGACTTAGGAAGGAGTAGGTGGTAGGTAATGAGATTGGGATCTGGGGGAGGGGTGTTGTGATATTGGGTTGTGGACGGGCAGCTAGTGAGATTGGGTCTTAGAGGGAATGGGTTAGTGCGATTGGGGGCTAAAGGGGGGCGGTTGGTGAGTTTGGGTCTTATAGAGAGTGGGTTAGTGTGATTGGGGTCTAAACGGGGTGGGAGGGGTTAGTAAGTTTGGGTCTTGGAGTGGGTTAGTGCAATTGGGGTCTAAAGAGATGATTAGTGAGATTGGGTCTTAGAGGGAGCGGGTTAGATGGATTGGGGGCTAAAGCGGGTGGTTGGTGAGTTGAGTCTTAGAGGGAACCGGTTAGTGCAATTGGGGTCTAAATGGGGAGGGGTTAGTGAGTTTGGGTCTCAGAAGGAGTGAGTTAGTGTGAATGGGGTCTAATGGGGTGATAAGTGAGTCTGGATCTTGGAGGGAGAGAATCAGTGAGATTGGGGTGTAAAGGGTTGGGGTTTTCAGATTGGTGTTTTGAAGGGCATTAGTGAAATTGAGTTCTAAACAGAAGGAGTTAGTGAGATTAGCTTACTTTTTAAGATTAAGATTTTGGAGATGACATTGGATGGTGAGGTGGTTATTGATATTGGGGCTTTGGATTGGGTGAGGTTAGTGGCACTGGGATCTGAAGTGAGGGTCTGGGGTCTGGGCAGACGGGTGGTTTAGTGACATTGGAGTCTGGAGGGATTAGTGAGGTTGGGATCTTGGAGGGAGGGGGTTAATGTGACTGGTGTCTAAAGTGAGGGATTTAATGAGACTGGGGTCTGGGGGAAGGAGTTAGTGATATTGGTGGTCAGTGAGATTGGGGTCGAGGGTTTTAGTGAGATTGGGACTTGGGGAGGGGGTTGCGAGCCGGAGATCTGGACGGTCCAGCTCGTTCCCCCCCCACCCCGCCAACATAGCGCTGTGGAGTCAGGTCTAGCTGATGTGGCGAGTCTGGAGCAGAGCCTCCGGCTTCTGAAAGCTGGTGTTTTTTAAGGCGGGAGGACTGGAATTGTGCTGACGGGAAGAGGGTGTCCACTTTAACTCCCCATATACGGTGATGGTACCAGTCAAATGTCCCCCAGCAACGAATCAACGGGCTGAAGCAGGAAGAAGATTGGCCATAGGGTAGGGACAAGCTTTGACCGCTTCCAAAAAAGTATTAAATGTCTTAAGGAATTCAATCTGCCCCTGAGAAGGACATATTTCTGAGGCTGGGGGTAGGATCCTGTGCACTTCAGCTCAGCTCCTGAATCAGCTCCGTCTCTCTCTCTCTCTCCAGGCTTCCTGCACACCCTCTCCACTCTTCCACTTTATTTATAAATATATTTTAGTGTCCTTTCTAAACAAAGCTCACCAACAGCAGCAGTCATGGACGCCATTAAGAAGAAGATGCAAATGTTAAAGCTGGACAAGGAGAATGCCTTGGACCGAGCTGAACAAGCCGAGGCGGACAAGAAGGCGGCGGAGGACAGGAGCAAGCAGGTTAGCTACTGCGTGGAGGGTTCAAATCCCAGCTCTGACCTTACAGTGTGGAACTAAAAACCTACCCTGAAGGGGCCAACTCCAGTACCTGGAGCCCGGTCTCCAGATGTTTATAAACCCGGGATTAAAAAGACTGTAAAATATGCAAAAAGGAAAAAAAAAACGCGTCGAGAGTTAAAATGCAACAATGTCGACTGTAAAATGTGCAAAGTTAACGCTTAAATGGTTAAAATGCAGCATTGTCGACTGTAAAATGTGCAAAGTTAATGGTTAAAATGCAGCATTGTCCACTGTAAGATGTGCATAGTTAATGGTTAAAATGCAATTTTTTAAAAACTTACGGATTTGTAGGAAAAGCATGATCGATTCTGTTTAGATTTGCATCAATGTTAATTTGTTGTCTGGAGGATGGGGCTAATTTGGACCACGGCTTTGTTTGACGAATCTCTGATGAATTGTCTGTGTAGTTTGAGGATGAAGCTTTACAACTAGAGAAGAAGTTGCGAGCAGTGGAGGATGAGAGAGATAAATTTTTAGAAGATTTCAACAAGGCGGAAGAGCGGCAGTTGCTGGCGGAGGAGAATGCCACTAAGGTATTTGGGGCGAGGTGAATGAACCGTCTCTTGTAACCTCTTTCTGCTTTTTTTTCTCTCCTCTCTCTCTCTGTGTCTATCCCTGTCTCTGTCTCTCTCACACACACACACGCATGGCTCCGGTCTCCACCGACTACGTCGCCTCCGTCTCCTCTCTCTCTCTGTGTCCCTGTGCTATGTGCCATCGCCTGCTACCACACACACACAACAAAAACCAAACAACAAAAACCGGGCAAACTGCAGCTGGAGGATGAGCTGGTGGCTTTACAGAAGAAACTGAAGGGGACTGAGGATGAGCTTGACAAATATTCCGAAGCTCTGAAAGATGCACAGGAGAAGTTGGAGCTGGCTGAGAAGAAAGCTACAGATGTGAGTATCAGACACAGCTTTCAATCTGTAGGAAATAAACTTTTTCCCCCTCTCTCTCTCTCCTGTCCTATTTCCCTCATCTCGCATGACAAGCCTCAAAAGCAACTCCCCCTCCTCGCTCACTGATTCTTGTGATCCATTTATATTCTGTTTCGCTCAATTCCTCTTCCCAGATGCTTGGGGCAGACAGCTAAATGCCAAGATGACATGAACTATATCCCTTGTAGGTTTAAGACGGGATTAGGTGGTGTGTATGTCCTGAGTGGGTATCCGGGTGTATTTATAGCCCAGGGCTTTATATGGCTTGGATATGCACAGGCTTAAGGGAGCTGTCCCTGGGGGAGAGGCAAGCATTTGTCCCGTTGTAAAACAAGGCTGTTTAACAAAAAGGGAAGTTCACTCGTAATTCAATCCCAGTGCAAATGATCAGGAGCAAGAAAAGACTGGCTGAGAGATCCCGTCAAACGCCCCCGTTAAAGACAATTCTGTAGCTTCCTGTAACCACTTGATTCAATTGACAGGAACTCAAATCCACTCGCTCCCTCCCGCCCCAATCTATTTGTAATGCGAGTGGAGATTACGTTCGTAAAGGATATTCCTTAAAAGGTAAAGTATGCAGAGTATTCCGAATAGCATTTATATCCCTGGCATTCTGGAGAGCCAATAACCCTGACTGCTTCAGATAACCACAGCACTACCATTGCCAAGTTCCAGCACCCCTGGGAGTTGTATTAACAAGTGCCACGTGTAAATCCCGCTCCCAGTTATGAGCTATTTACACTTTTGTCACTTTTCACCGGCACCAGGATGGGCCAGTGCCCAGTCCCTAATCCGGTCTGTTTCAAATCATCCTTTTTTTTAAAAAGAGTTTACAGGATCTTTTCCAGCTCTATGTGATTGTCACTTTTGGAACATTCCCCTTGTCATGTTTTCAAATTGCTACCATTCAAGAAACGAGGGGAGTTCAATGACCCTCTACTGTCCAATGTGTCAAAGCCCTGAGACTATTTGAGCTAGGGGGAAGGTTTCCTCAAATAAGTTGGATTTTTTTTCTTGCAAATATATTTGAAAGGTTGGTGGTTGCTAAGAGTTTCTGAACTATGACAGTTATTCAATGATACAAATGTCAAATTTAGAGGGTGAAAAGAATGTTTTTTTTTTCTCTTGCTGTACTTTCACTGATGATATTGACTTCTCTGATAGATTTAACTCGTTGCTGTGTCAGTGGGTCCCGGACCTTCAGTCAAATTCCTCATGTTGACAGTAGGTAGCGATGGGCAAGACCACCATGGCACTGGACAGCCAAGACTCCCCTTTCCCCCTCCCCACCCCACCTTTTCCTGAGCCGGTGTCTGCCAATGTGCACTGATCCAGGACAAGCGAAGAAGTTCATAGACACCTATTGGGACTTAGAACAGTGGCTGACCTCTCTCTTCACGTTCCAACTGTACTGAGAATGCTGGCTTACACCCAGGCCACTTACTGACCCCTGGCCTCCTCCTGTTGTATGGCACAGTGATTCACTGAGTCATTCGGAACTTAGTGGAATCAGTTTAATGGGTTGGATTCGCTCAACATTCACTATCAGTCATGGAATTCTGATTCTCAGGGAGCAGGGACTCCTGGAGGAGAAAACAGTCAGATCTTAGTAGCTCTTGGGCTGGCAGAGCATAGTCTGGTCCCATGGGCTTCAGCACAAAGAGAGAGAGATCACTATGTATTCTGAGGGGCTGTAGGACAGAAAAAGCACAGTCTAACACCAGAAACTACTGTACAGAGAGAGAGCAGATTTTCTGATTTTATGCCAGGAATTATTGGACAAAGTGAGCACAGTCTTATCCCAGAGGCCCCAAAACAGGGAGAGTCATTCCCTCTTTATTATTCCCTCCTCCGGTGGCTGTGGAAGAATAACTGAGCATCAGGGTAAGGACTCTGATCCAGCAGGTCAGCCTTTCTCAGGTAGTCGTACTGGCTGTTATCATGCATTGCTCAGGAACTGGCACAACTGATTCCGGTGTTAATCATAACCAGTATTGCAGAAAGTGGTAAGTGGGATGTGTGAACATGAACATAATCAGGAGTGACAGTCCTGGCTGACCCTCACCACAACTGCACACGCCTCTTACCCCCTGCCTGCAATCATCCACACCCACCCAAACCCATTCCCACTTATCCTCAGAGTTGTACAGCACAGAAACACACCCTTCAGTCCAACCAGTCCATGCTGACCATAATCCCAAACTAAACTAGTACCGCCTCCCTGCTCCTGGCCCATATCCCTACAAACCTTTCCTATTCCTGCATTTATCTAAGTGTCTTTTAAACATTTTCATTGTACCAGCATCCATCACTTCCTCCAGAAGTTCACTCCAAACATAATCCACCCTCTGTGTAAAAAAAAATTTGCACTTCATGTCTTTTTTAAATCTCTCTCCCCTCACCTTAAAAATATGCCCCCATAGTCTTGAAAGACCCATATAAGGGAACAGACGCCTGCCATTAACCCAATTGATACCACTCATGATTTTATAAACCTCTATAAGAGAAGAGTCCCAGCTTTTCTTTATAACTCAAACCTTCCATACTCAGCAACATCCTGGTAAATCTCTTCTGAACCCTCTCTAGCTTGATAATATCCTTCCAGCAACAGGGCTGGGAACACTGACTCTCATTGTACCTTGACAATGTACAGTAAATTCATGCAGATTTTCATGAATGTTTGTGCCTGTCAAGGTGCCAGGTATCAGTGCCAGGGATGAAGGATGCCCAACATGGTGAGTACTCAATGCTGGCTCACAGCATGATGTGGGCACAGGCTCCATGAAAAGTAATTCTCGTACTCTGAAAGAAAGAGTCCATTTCCCAAATCACTGTTTATAATCTCGGGACATTCCAAAGAAATGAAGCCCTTCTGAAACATACAAAATGAATCAGAAATTGCTGGAGAAACTTAGCAGGTCTGGCAGCATCCATGGAAAGAAAACAGAGTTAACATTTCAAGTCCAGTGACCCTCTGAAACCTTTCACTATTGCATTTGGGAAATACAGCAGACAATTTACACAATCCACACCCAGCAATGCAATGATAACCAGATCATCTGTTTTTTTTTGTGATGTTTAAAGAATTGATGTTGGCCAGGACAATGAGGAGAATGTTGCAGCTGTTCTTCCAAATGGCACAGTGGAATCTTTTACATCCACTCAAGAACAGGCTGGGTTTAACACCTCATCTGAAACACAGTACCTCTAATAGTGTAGCACTCCCTCAGAACCACAGCGAAAATGCTGGTCTAGATTTTGTGTTGCAGAGTGAGCTAACACTCAGAACTGTGCATTTCCTGCAGCAGCCAATCTGAACCAATCAAGCATCAGTCTATTCTATTGAGTTTATGAATTACAGAATTGTTATGGTGCAGAAGGAGGCCATTTGGCCCATCGTGTCTGCACTGACTTCCTTAGCATTTTAACTTAGTGCTCTTTCTGCTTAACTCTGTGCATTGCTTTATTTAAATAATCTTCCAATGCTGTCTTGAATGCCTCATTCGAACACCTCCAGGCAGTGCATTGCAGACCCTAACTACTCGCTACTGAAAAATGAAATAGACTGTAGATGTCCAAACATGGTGCAATGCAGAGAGAGGAAGCATTGACTCTACCAGCCTACATTAAACTCAAGGCCCAGTAAACTGCTCTTATTGCAGAGTTTATTAAATTACATTCATATATAATATTGTGATGGTAAATCACTGATATCCTCTATGTACTTAGTGTGAGTCTAGTGATGTGGGTGTTGCTGGCAATGCCACCATTTGTTGCCTATCCCAAATGCTTTTGAACTGAGTAGCTGGAAAGGCAGTTTAAGAGCCAGCCACATCTCTATGGGTCTGTGGTAAACCAGAGCAAGTAAAAGTGGCAGCTTTCCTTCCTTAAATTGTGACAGTTAACATTATGTGGCTACTACTAGAGACTATGCTTTATGGATACGTTCAAATCAACCTGTTCATTATTATGCTATTACACATCTCTGGGGCAGGTGGTCTTGAACCCAAGCCTCCTGGGCTAGAGGTAGGGACATTTCCACTGCAACACTAGAGCCCCAATAAGACTAGCTTCATATTCCAGATTTACTAATTAAATTTAAATTCCACCAGCCGGTGTGGTGGGATTTGAATCTTGTCTCCAGAATTTTGGCCTGAGCTGCTGGATTCTAGTCCAATGACATTACCACAATAGCTAATGCATCTAAATTGGCTCCCATTTGCAGGCTTGGGGTGAAATATTTTTTATTGATTCATAGGACATGAGTATCACTGACTGGGTCAATATTTATTGCCCATCATTAGTTGCCCTGGAGAGGGTCGCACTAATCTGCCTTCTTAAACCACTGCAGTCCATTTAGTGTAAGTAGATCCACAATGCAGTTAGGGAGGGAGTTCCAGATTACAAAATTATTCCTTATAAATAAGGCTGATATCCATCCCTGCTGAAGAAGGGGAAAAAACAGACTTCCTTGTGATTATTACATTGTCTTTGTGAGATTTTCCTGGCATATTTCGACATTACTGTACTTCTGGAATGCTTGATTGGCGTAAAGTGCCCGGAAGTGTCCTGTGCCTGAGATTTCAAGCCTTTTAATTTTAAGCAAATGACTTGAGTGATACAGGGTTCGTTTATGAAATATTAAACACAGCAGAGACACTCTTTAAGTGATGCATCGTAACATTTATGGGACTTTAGAGACCTGTAAATACACGTTAAAGACCTTTAGCCAGGTTTATGACATTGCCCTTGTTTCGTTTGAATTTGATCAGATCCCAAATCCTCTAATCCTGTAGGTGGCGTGTTCCTGGTGTGAAACACCTTGGAATGTGAAATCGACCAGAATGTCACTTTCAAGGTGTGGCGCTTGCGAACAAATTAAAAAAAAGACTGCACCAAAAATATTGACTTAGAAATGCAACCACCCAGAAAGCTGAGAATTTGAACTGAAGACACCTACG